TTTCAGATAGTGGCATGTAGTTTTCCCTGCCATTTACTTTCTGAGAAAGATCTCAAATTGTTCGCAGTTATTAAAACTCAATTCTGCTCTGCTCTGTTACAACTTAAAATTCTGCTCCATGCAGGGTAAAGACATATATATCATCAAGTCATAGCTCCATTAGAGAATTAGGTGGTAGAAAACCAGTGCTAAAAGTATATGGCTTTGGTTAATTGCTCATTTGTATTCCACCTTAGTGATGGAAGTTAAATTTTCTGCGGAAGGGTTAATACTTCTATCTGAGAACAAAACCAGAGACTGGGGGAGACAAGTCTTTCTGTATCTATAAAGGGCAAGGCAAGTAATTTATCTCATAGGCATGGCTCTGGATGCAATCTGAAATCAAAGATCTGGAGCCATTTTGGCAAATATAAATGGCACACAATAAGCAGGATATATTACGAGATATTGGTTTAGTGATGGTGTTGTTTTTTGTTTGTTGTGTGGGTGTTTATTTTTGTCAAAATTAGGTTGACGGTTGGACAAGATGATCTTTAAGCTCCCTTCCAACCTAGAAGATTCTGTGATATAGCATTAATAGGCTGCATTAAAAAATAACTTAAAAAAGACCAGTAAAACAAGATGCAGAGGGACTTAATGTCCTAAGGGATTCTCAGTGTTACAGAATTGAGAATTATAACTCTCGCCATCAGTTCTGAACGTGCATTGCTTGTCAGAGTTTGTCAGACTGCTCCTGGCTGTATCACTGATGCCCATGTGAAACCAGAGCAGTGGATAACAGCAGACTGCGTGAGGATTGCTAGTCTCTCGGTGACATCCCTGATACGAGCCCCAGGTAGGCTGCACACCTCTCGAGAGGGTGCATCAGGTTGGCAAATGGCTGCTCCCGCACCTCTCAGAAGACAGTCACCTCCTACTACCAATCATTGTTTTTTCTTAATTGGACTGGTTGTTATATGGGGACCAGATTAGGTTGCCTCTCCTCCTGTGACTCCTCTTTCCTCTTCACGCTGCAGAGCTGTGAAGCAGTTCTGCAGGGGCACCTGAGACTTTCCTCAAAGTCTCTTCCCTCTGCTGGTTCTTGCCACTGCAAGCTTTAATTCTTCTGTGCTATTTGCATTATTTTATTGAAATACAGTATTCTGCATGAAATATAAATTGTGTGTTTTAAAGAACCAGTCATGCAGAAAAGGCAACAATGATGTTAGTGGGATTTATATGGTTAAAGGAGATCACCTAACATTTTACATTAATCACTTCTGTTCAGCAGACAGGCTTCTGGCATTTGATTGCTTAAACTCATTATGTTGGGTCCCTGCATGCACGGTGCCTTGGAGAGCTTTTTTTTTTATGAGGTTGGATTAAATTCAATGGCTTTGCTACTGTTAATCCGAAAAAGTTTCTCCTGCTCCTTCTTCGTACTTATAACAAGCCATGGCAGGAAGGAGAACAGGAGGTCGATGTCTTTATCACACTGATGCTAACATGTGGTTTTGACACTTGGCAGGTGATAGCCAACACTTTAAATCAATCCAGCTTTTTTGGATTCTTGCTCGCTGTATTGTCTAAATGCAAGGCTGAGCTCTCTGCCACATTAGCACGGACCCTTCCCTTTTCTTATGCCTTTTATATTTCTTATCTGGATGTGTACGCAGCTAAAGGCTTTACAGATAGGAAATATGAGGCCAGTAAGGTGGAGGTGTTTTTAAAATGCTTTTTCAGTTTTGCAGATGCAACCGTATAGTGCAGCCACATTCTAGTGGCTACATTTTGTCTTATAGGTAAATGCTGTACAAGTGACATAAATATGAAAAAGTGATTGTTAGGTTGTGGTGCATCAATTCATTTGACCAGAAGGCTTTGGAAAGGGAATTGCACTGCCTACTCATCAAAAATGTACTCTTTCTTTGCTGGAGCCTAGAATCAGACAAGACCCTTAAAGAGCTTGTAATAAATGCAGCTCAGACCTCCAGAGACTCATTCCTGCCCAGGAGTTTGAAAATAACTACCTTCAGCTGAATTAAAAGTTTCTCGAAATACATCACAACATTCCAAAATACCGAGCTATTTCAGATATGCTTCTAGATTTACATGGCCCTGAGTAACTCTTGCTGTCCAAAGGGGTTTTTAAGTTTATACTAGGCTAATAATTTCAGCCTCAGAGTCATTAAAATATTAGCAGTATTTTTTCTATAGAAAAGGAAATGCAGAGGTCCATCCTACTGAAATTTTTGCTGTGGGAAAGGTATGGGTACCTGGCTAGCAAGCATATGCTTTATAATGTTGTTAATAAACAGGTACAGTTCTGTCAGTGCAAACCAGACACAGGAGAGACACAGCAGCAGCCTGATGGGAGCCTTCAGAAATAAGAGTCCATTGTTACTGTTACCCAACTCTATGTTTTCCCCCTTTCAAAGAGCTTCATGTAATCAAATTACATTGAAAATGAGTGAAAATTGGGCAGGTAGTTTCACAACTCCAAGAAACCAAGGGCTTGCACTTCACAGGATGCAGCAGAGAACCATGTGAGCATTACGTCTAGTGTTTGAAGTTCTGCAGTTCAAACATGAAAACATTTTGTCTGAGCTCAGGGTCCCAAATTTTATTTTATTTGGACTTTATAGGGCAATCTTCTAAGTGAAAGGATCAGCTGCTAGGATCTGCAAAATACAATCTTATTCCATCACTGCACAACCTCCCTTTGCGTTTCCCCTTCTCATACTGAGTACGAGAAGGGGCTGTCAGACCAGGGGATGGGTGCAAGATGGGGAGGGACTGTTTATCAGGGTTTGTAATGATAGGGCTAGGGGTAATGGGTTTAGACTGAAAGAGGAAGGATGTAGATTAGATATCAGGAAGAAATTTTTCACTGTGAGGGTGGTGAGGCATGGGAACAGGTTGTCCAGAGAAGCTGTGGAGGCCCCATCCCTGGAGGTGTTCAAGTCTGGGTTGGATGGGGCTTTGAGCAACCTGGTCTGGTGGGAGGTGTCCCTGCCCATGGCGGGGGGGTTGGAACTAGATAATCTTTAAGGTGCCTTCCAACCCAAATCATTCTATGATACTATGATTGTATACCTTTTGGAGATGTACTCAGACAAACAACTTCTCTTATGTGTTTTCCCCTATTGTTTCATATACTTCTGGTTAACTGCAGGCCAACTGAGCCAGTGACACCCTGCCTCCTGCCACCCTGTCCTTGACCAGTAAGAGCAGCGTAGGGAGAATGCCACCCACATTATCCACATAAAGAATGATCCTCTCCAATCACAGTGCCATTGGAGAAGGGAAAGACAGCACAACTCTCAGCTGCATTCAAAAGGATTTTGAACAATTGGACCTGGACACCAGGTGTCCCTGGTAGTCCACTGTAGCTATGGCATCACTTATGATCTTGTGTTTGGTGTTGGTGATCGAGTGAGTTGCCATATAGGCAACACACACAGGGTTTCTGCTCAGAGGAGGCCCATTATTTGGTCTGGGCTTATTGTAGAAAAGCCAAGCTTCCCCTCAGCTCCTTCATCCAGTGACTGGAGCAGAGCTTACTACATATCAGTGCTACTTATTCCGCTCTCACAATGACAAGGCATTATCCCCAGAGGCTTAAATTATATTAAAGTACAGAGATTTCCACGGTTCAGGTCTGAAAAATGAAATTCAGGTGATCTGGCTTCATTTGAGGGGACAATATCAGGAGGAGTCCAATCATGACTTGAGCAGTGAGGTCAAGACTGTCAAAAAGTGCTAACACACTCTGCCAAAGGTAAGTTACGAAGGTGACATGAGAACAGTGAAACTAGTTACTGGTGTGCTAGGAAGCCTTTCTGCTGTGAAAATGATCTTGCCTCATTCTCACCAAACCTCTTCAAGTGCTGCCAGCAACAAGGGGTGTAACTCATTTTCAGTTTTGTACTCGGTGGTCCCTGGGGAAAGCCTAGCTACTAATAGTGTTCATATTGTGTTTTTCACACAGTAATGTTTAGGTGTTACGGGAAATTCTGTATTTATTACTCATAAATTGTAGTAAGAATAGGAAATTAGTATATATGGAGCACACTCAGAAACTGAAATAATGAAGTTCTCCTCTTCCGAATGATATTCGGTGTCAGACACAGCAACTCATTTTTGAGCCTCACAAATGATAGTAGGTTTGAAACCTGAGAAGAAACCATTTTGCTGATTCATTAAATCCACATCTGGATGCTGTGTGTTAACTTTGAAGAAAACTGTTGCACGATGTTCAAGAGCACATGCAGTGATCACAGCAATCACTGGTTCTTTATATCACATCGTTGACTCTAGTACAATTCAGTAATTTATTGCTGAAGCAAAAAGAACCAAGCCATGCTTCTAGATTAATGTCTGACCCAGTATTAAGAAGGCAACATTTTTTATTTTTTTTTTTTTATGGCAATTGCTTTTAGAATCATAAAGGAAAAGGAATGACATTAATTTGGAGGTACCAAGGCTGAAAGGTTCAAAAACCATTTAAAACATGAAACGTTATAAACAAAGTTCATTAGATTAATAAGACCAATATTAATGGATTCATTTTCCTCTGTGGCATTTGATGCCTGGTTGCACAGAAACAACAGTGAAGATTTATGCAGTGAGGGGCAATCCGACTTCTTTTCTGAAATTCTTATTATGAATTCCTAGTGATAATGACATGCTATGATATTCCTGTACTTTCTTTCCCCTTATTATCAAATAAGCATTCAGAAACAATACTTTAACAGCATATGCTGTACCACATATATATATGACATTCATACAATACATATATATTATATGTACATACTTTGTACATATCCCCCATCATTATGGGTCTACGGACCACAATCTGACAACCAGCTTGTGGTTAAATATAAATGGATTTAAATATAAATATGCGAAGACTGATATTATCAAGGAGGATAAGATTTTGGGTTATAACTCAAGCCATTATTTATTAGCAATTATACAAATAATAATTAATTCTTTTTTAAAAGCCCACACTGGAGGTTTCATCACCATTTATTTACAACAGCCCTTTATAAATCATTTATCTGGAAATTTCTCTCCCGTGTGTGGTGAAAACATTTCTGTAAAACTGTCTTAATGGAGTCTATGAATCAATGCACTGTAAGTGTCAGGGGTTGAATTGATGGCTTAAGAACAAAGAAGGCTTTTTTATAGGCAGGTGTCAAAAGCACTCACTGAATTAGAAACTTTAATCTATGGCAGTCAGTGATATTTATGTTCCAAAGAGATAGTTTGAAAGTTCTACCTTTTTCACTGCTATGGCTATGAAGTTGTCTCAGAACCTAAAAGAAGGGCCATAGGAATGAGAATTCTGCAGTCTAGAAGTAGAGAAGACTGAATGGATATATGGCCTCCCTTGGTCTTATCTGTAAACTTACTGATGGTGCATTCGATCTCCTCATCCAGGTTGTTGATAAAGATATTAAAGAGAACTGGCCTCAATACTGCACCCTGGGGAAAACTACTTGTGACCCATCACCAAGTGGATTGGACTCCATTCGCCACCACTCTCTGGGCCTGGCCTTCCAGGCAGTTTTTTTCCCGGCAAAGAGTACTCCTGTCCAAGCCATGGGGAGCCAGTTTCTCCAGGAGAATGCTGTAGGAAATGGAATTGAAGGCTTTACGAAAGTCCAGGTAAGCAACATCCATAGCCTTTCTCTCATCCACTAAGCAGGTCATCTTGTCCTAGAAGGTGGTCGGGTTTGTCAAGCAGGACCTGCCTTTCATGAACCCATTGTGACTGGGCCTGATCACCTGGTTGTCCTGCATGCGCCTCATGATGGCACTCAGGATCTGTTCTATAACCTTCGGTGGCACTGAGGTCAGACTGACAGGCTTGTAGTGCCCCTGATCCTCCTTCCAGCCCTTCTTATAGATGGATGTCACATTTGCTAACCTCCAGTCAACTGGGACCTCCCCAGTTTGCCAGGACTGCTGGTAAATGATAGAAAGTGGCTTGTTAAGCACTTCTGCCACCTCCCTCAGTACTCTTGGGTGGATCCAACCAGCCCCATAGACTTGTGTACACCTAAGTGCTGTAGCAGGTCCGTCACCATTTTCCCTTGGATTATGGGGACTTCATTATGCTCCCTGCCCCTATCTACTAGCTTAGGTGGCTTGGCACTCTGCGGAACAATTAGTCCTACTACTAAAGATTGAGGAAAAGAAGGCATTGAGTATCCTCAGCCTTTTCCTTATCCTTGGTCACCATGTTTCTGCCTCCATCTAATAAAGGATGGAGATTCTCCTTAGTCCTCCTTTTATTGCTCATGTGTGTATAGGAACTTTTTTTATTGTTGTTAACGCCAGAAGCCAGGTTAAGTTCTAGTTGGACTTTGGCCCTTCAAACTTACTCCCTACTTAGCCTCAAAACCTCTCTGTTGTCCACATGAGTGGCCTTCCCCTTCTTCCATAGATCCATAGATCCTCCTTTATTACCTAAGTTGTAACCATATCTCTCTGTTCAGCCAGGCCGGTCTTTTTCCCTAACGGCTCATTTTTTGGCACATGGGGATGGCCTCTCATGCCTTTAAGACTTCCTTCATGAAAAGCATCCAGCCTTCCTTTGCCCTTCAGGACTACCTCACAAGGGACTCCATCAACCAGACTTCTGAACAGACCCAAGTCTGCCCTCTGGAATTCCAAGGTAGCAGTTCTGCTCACCCCACTCCTTGCTTCTCATTTCACGACCCCTATGCCCAAGATGGCCTCTAACCATCACATCCCTCACAAGTCCTTCTCTGTTTGCAAGCAGCAGGTCCAGAAGGGCACCTTCCTTGTCAACTCCCTCACCAGGAGGATTACCCTCAGGAAAGTTACCCTCAACGCCTCCTAGACTGCACCCTCTCAGCTGTATTGTATTCTCAGCAGATATCTGGTAAGCTGAAGTCCCCAACAAGGACAAGGACTAGTGATCTTGAGACTTCTCCCAGCTGATTATCTAATATTTTATAATATTCAAATATACTCATGGTAAAATCCAAGACATAACGTTATTGGCGAAGATCACTCCTCTAAACTAAAATTCAGTTATTAAATAAAAGTGACTTCATAATCAGTTATTCTCATATCATGAGTTGCAGCCCCATTATCTCCTTTGAACAGCAAGGATTCGGTGAAATAAAAGGGACACCATTTTGGTGCTCACTTATTCATGGAGATGCTGCTCAGATTACGGACATAAATGAAAGCAGCTCTCAAACCACTCTGTGGCTCTGCAGATTTATTTTTTTATTGCAGTTGCAATGGTCTCTTAACTGTAGCTGCACTTTCCCATGAAGTTCAGTTTCACGTCACTCTCCGGCTGTAAGAGGCCTGTTAAATATAAGGAGTTGCTTAATATTGGTTTTCGAGGTTTTGGCTACTTCCTTTTCAAATTCCTTCCTAGCCTTGATAATTTCAGCAAACTTTTCATATGCCCTAGTTTACGCTCTTCAAACTGTCTTTATTAATTTTATTATTTCAGTTTTTGAAGTAGTTACAAAATATTAATCGATGAAATATTTCATCACTTGTTTTGCCATTAATTTAGCCTCACTTTCTTACTAAGATTGTGAAAAATTATGGAATTAAATATTATATATAATATATATAATGTAATATATTTCCATATTAATTATATGGAAAAATTATTTATGATGTATAAAAGAGAAATAACCTTTAACTTGCTACAAAACTGGGACTCTTTTTTTTCAGAAGAGTGCAGCATAATTAGCTGACTCGTGAATTAAGAGCTCAATGAAAATGAAGAGTGCCATGTATGCGTGCAAAAAGCTCTCTGAAGAGTTGTAAAAATCTATTGCCATTCAATGCCACTTGATCATGAAAACATTAGAGCAGTTAGATGCCTCTGAGTTGTACAAATATGCATACAGGCGTAATTTAACACACAGTATGTTTAATTCCTCAATAGCTTCTATTAATCCCCTATCATTAAAGGTACTTTCAAGTACGAAAGCAATAACGTTTCAGGAATCTATAAAGTTAGCAGTTGATGACTGTCTAGGAAAATATGCCTAGGACAGCCAAAATTACTCAAAACAGTCTCTTCTTCAGTCTGTGGGTACCTAACAGAGAGGAGAATGAGTCTGGGCTCCCGCAGAGCTGTAGGACATAACTCTGATGATTTTAATAAGCACAGAGTGTCAGATAGAAGGAAGGCCAAGAATTTTTTACGTTGGCTCAGGTTTCTCACATCCTGGGGACTGAAGGGTGAAAAGGAAATTCTTTAAGACCTTGTTAAGGACAAAACATGCAAACTTCTATAACCCAATTCTTCTGTATTTACCCTTCTTTTAGTCATTTCTGTCAAATCAAAAATAGTAAGATAAATAAGCATTATTTCAAAAGCTTCTTAAGAAGGTTTAACATTACACAGTCTGAAATAAAGGCTTACAATTAATCTATAGCGTCAGTTGCCTTAATTTTATTTTTTCAAGAAAGCAGGTATTTTCAAGCAATACTTTATCCTTGGTCATCTTTAACAGTTTGTTATTTCCATCTTTAGGACAGTTGTTTGGATCTATGAAGCCCAGGAAATGAAACAAGTTTGAAGTTGAAGGAAAAAAAAATCAGTAAGTATTTTTGAAGTATTTTTACTTCAGCTTTTTAGAAAGAACATGATATTTTCTCTTTACTATTTTTAACTCATTAATTAAAGCTGACACTTCCAAAACCAGTGTTAAATTTAACTGTGATTTAAGAACTCATCTGTTAATCTCATCTATTTTAAATTAAGGTGACTAAACACCAAACCAGCTGCTGCTTATAATGGAAAATGAAGTTTACAACCACGTATCACAGGCAAAATCTCATCCTTATGCAGAAATGTTCAGATTTGTTGATGTAAAAACCCTTTACCCTCAAAGCAAAATTTTTATATCAAACACCAAGAAATCTTTCTGTCAGCATCTGGGTTTTTGTTTTTTATGTTGTGTGCGATTCAGGTTTTTTTAAGTGTGATTGGGTGCTGGTTTTTTTAATTAAATAAGTATTTTCTACAAGGACACAAAAAATATGTCCACAGAAAATAATTATCCAGCTTTAGACTTGATTATATCATGGAGTAACAACAATCTACAGATACAGGATAATGGAACAAGCATATGGTGATTTTGCCTTTACTTTAGAGAAGTGTTACTGAGCTGGACTCAACACAACAAACTCCCAGCTTGTTCCACACAAATTTTTGAAAATGCAGTTTTCATTATGATCAATTAGTATTTGTACCATGACATATAATATTTTTAGGACTCAAAATATTTAGTTAGGATTTTCGCACAGTAGATATGTTTGACAAAAAATGGAAAGTCTTTGGGGTTTTTTTGTCCTATGGACATGCTTGAAGAAGGGTTGATAGAGGTTTTGAGGTTTTGTGGGTTTGTGTTGGGGTATTTTTGTGTTTTGTTTTGTTATTTTTGTGTGTTTGATCACCTGGGAGGTGATCAAAAGAAACTGGAATTGTTTTCAAGGTTAATAACCCTGTGAAATCTAATACATGGCAATGAAATTGGTATTTGCAGTGGTGCTCATTTTTGGGTAAGCTATAACTTCTATAAAGCTTCTTAGGAAATTAATTTTGTTGTAGTCCATGTCTAATTTTAGCAAACTTGAGAAAAAAAGAAAAATATTCCATCTGGTTTAAAGTCATGCTGGGTGAAAGCAAGAAATCATTTAAGTTGAAATTGTTATATAAGTACCTTTATGGTGAAAAAAACAAATAAAAAAAAATATGACAAAAATATCACTACTTAAAAACTGACTAGTTTGGTTTTTTTAATCAGCCTAGTTTCACATGCATACATTTAGACACAAACGTACGCAAGTTCTACATGGGGGGAAAAAAAAAAAAGGAATGCAAAAGACGGAGTTAGATACTTCTCACTAATTAAGTTTCCAATCAACAATGCAATTAGCACAAGTGCAGAGCTACCACTAGTACTGTTCTGAAAGTGTCCAGAGTCATACTGCAGTAGCTGACATGAGATGTGCCAAGCTGAAAGCCCTATGATAACACACTCCTACACCCCAGTGGTAAAAAGGTACACATCTCCAAGCAAATTTTTTATTCAATCAGAATAAGTAAACAAACAAGCAAAACACTCTGAGCAGATTCAGACCTGGGATTTTTCCTTAACTACTTCATCAAACCAAAGGGGATGTTTGCAAAAGCTCCAGTGTTTCTTTTTCAATACAGGGATGCCAATCAGAATAGAGGCTTATGCAGTGAAAAAGTACGTAAAACCCTTCATTGCAAAGTTCATCTTAAGATGAAAAAGGGTAAGTGCTCCACAGGGTTATAACAGTTCAGTTCCTATCATACTTAATGAGAGTGTCAGGGCTAAATGCCATCGCACCATTTTAGATGTCCTAGGGCCTAATTCAATTCCCACCAAAAAGAGTAGGGATCAGATCATTCAATTAACTTCAGTGGCCTCTGGATTGGACTTCAGATTCTACTCGGAATGAGATGTAGTTCTCCATTGAGAGACTGAGCACTTCCAACTCCTGTTGAGTTTGGCATCTTCTTACTGAAGCTGAATATCCAAAAAGAGAGTAGGAGAGCTTATCTTTTCTATACTTAAAATCGAAGTAGGGACTTATAAAGGAGCCTAGGAGATTTTATCACCTAACTGCAATAATTTCCTTTTAAATTCTTGAGTAAATTGTTTAAGCGAAAAAACCCACACCTTTTTTAAGATTCAAAACATTAAAGATTATTATAGACAGAACTCATAATACAACAGATATGGGTTTGTATTCAAATTTTGTCTTTTTTTTATGTAGCATGCCAGGAAAAATTAACTGAGAGGTTTTTTTCTATGGTAATAGTATTATGCAGGACAATAATAGTATAACTTAATTGTTACAATTAAAGTATGTTTTTCCATACATTTAATGCTTGCTTATAATCGTGTAGTTAGTCCTAAAAAGAACAGAATTCTGCTGTCATTTTCAGAGTATCAGGAAATACATATGTGATACACATTTCCAAAAGACAGCGGTACAGTAATTGACAGACATGATTATTGTGTCCTCTAGAAGCATTCAGAATGACAGATGATAATTTCCTCATAAATCATGTCTAGAACATGAAAAATGCAATGGAACCTCATTTTAATCTTATCATCTTATCAGTACTAATGGAGAAGGTAGAATTTCAGTCTACAATGTTTATCTGACTTACGTTCATGAAAGAATTTTCCAGAATTTGCATATCATGTGTGTATAAAAAAAAAAATCCTAATCAAGATAAGCAGCACTAAATATTTTTCTTCTACTATTTTGCTGTATTACTTTACTGATGATTGACAGGAGAGCAGAGCTGAAGCCTACTATTTCAGAACAACTTACCAAGATAGCAGTGGAGGGTTTTTTTTGTTCATCAGGAAGAGAGGAATAAAAGAAAAGAAGAGAACACTTCAGACTCGGAGAATCCAAGGTAACAATTCTGGATTTTCTCCACGCTTTCAAGCTGGACTGTTTTCATTATTTTTAATATAAAGGAAACTTTTTAATATTTGTGACTGAATCCATTGAATGCGAATAAGGCTAGTCTCTCCCACACTGCATTTTTATTCTGTGAAAAGCTCATAAATTCAAGTTCCAGTAACTTTTTTAAAACATCATTATCTTCTCTATTCCACATACATCCTCTGAGATTTTCTATTCATTACAGAATGTGGTGCCAAGTTGACTCCACAGTTCAGAAGTGTTTGATTTACACGTAACAGTTTGGGGTATCTTGGTGAAGAAGGCGAGACGTTTGAGTAGATGTTCTCCACTTTTGGTGGCACTAGGATTCAAGGGGTTTGTTCGGGGCCATGTTTGCCTTTCACACAGCAGATCTGGTACTCCAGGATGGCTTTACCAGATGCTTTTTTTCAGAAGGAAGGACCATGTCAAAATATATTATTCACTTCCAAAAATTCCACCGAAAATTTTAACATTCTTTCAGTGCCATGCATCTAGATATCTGGAACATTTGTATGGACAGTAATAAAGGTAATTTTAACCCAGAATAAATTATTATAATATCTATTGCAATCTTATAACGTAAGATTGATAACAGTTATGATGTTCTTTAGAGAGGAGTAACAAAATAAATAGAGGCCCAATAACGAGGGAAAATTTCTCTTTTCTTCCTCCCAAAAGATGGCCTGTGAGACACCAAGCAGTGAGAATCATTCAGCTGCCAAGAAGGATTTTACAGCTATTACAACCAGCTTCCCTGGCCCACAAGGAAGACACCATTGTTGGTGTAGCCCTGAGGCCAAGGAGAGACTATAACAACTATGTCAGTTTGAAGAGACATCCATTACATTAACATTAGTAACTACACTTTGTTTAACAGGGGCTCAAATTCCTCATTACTTTACAAACAATTCTTGTGGTCAATTTCAAACCCCTTGCAGATAAAAGAATGGAAAGTTTTATACTGCAGGAAAACTCTCTGACCAACATTCCCAAGAGTATGCCAAGTACTTTTGGGACTATGAAACTCTTCAAGGTAAACACGAGAGAATAATACATGGATTAATACCAAAATGTCCTTAGCAATTGAAGAGCTTCTATAAAGGAACTATTGATCCAACCTGCTCATACAGCATCTTTATTTAAAAATCATTGATTTCATGATGTTACATCACCGTTACCCAACAACCTAAAGAATAAGATGGAGTAACTGATAGTGTTATTCCCCTTACAAGGCAGATTATATCACTGTAATGTCCTCTGTCTTAAATGTGAGCTCCCTACAGAATGCATATCCTTGCAACTGTCCTATTGCTATTGGCAAATAAAATTATTTTGAGCATTATCACAGCTCGCATTTAGGCTGCAAAGTGACTACATTAATATGATATCTGACTACACTGAATTCTGGGGTCTTCTAAAAATCTAGCTGTAAATACTGTTTTGACTGTTGCTCGGTGATGAGCTGTCTTCTAGGGATTTAATAGGAACTAAAATCAGTTGAAAGTAGGAACTGGTTCTGGGCACTGAATAGGTGATAAAATTCTCACAAATTACGTTACATCTAAAATTCCCATACAAGCTAAAAATATTTCTAATTACTGGAATAAGTTATTTGACTGATGCTTTTTCCTAGTCGATTTGCTTTCTGTCATTACAGAGTTAACTCTGAGTCAGGAGAAACTCAAGCAATCTGCAGATATGAAAGACTTAACTCACACAGGTGCAACTATAAATGGCGGGTATAAAGCACAAAAGATATTACTGCAGGCTACAAGACTGTGGAATAAACTTGCCATCTTGTTTTCCTAGGAGAGGAATAAATGCATGAAGACAAGCGCCTTCAAGTCATTAAATCATATGACAGTTTCATTCCCTTTTTTCTCTTCTCCCCTCAGCAGTAATAGCTGCTACTTGCATTTGTGATATCCCTAAAAAATTCAGAGGGTTAAAAACATTTACCTCCCCAGAGCACTGCTGCTGAGGAACACTACCTCCTCTCCTCCAACACCTTCCTCTGTCAGCACCTTCAATGTTGAACACCCCATTTGTCTCCAAGTTATAGCATTGGAGAAAGTAAAGAAAAGTTTTTAAATATGAATTACAACTTTTTCCATTGTTTCTGCAAACCCTAAGTTGGTTGATTTTTAGATATGCTGCAAGAAAAAGCTATTCATAAGGATTTCTGTATGGATCACAAGATTGTTCTTAGGGGTCTGCTGGGGTCTGTAGGGGTTCTTAGGGGTCAGCAGGGGCCTGCAGGGAGTTGCAGGAAATAAACTGGGTTTAAAACTGGCTTCTGTGTTGTTGCTTTGTGAGCTCAAAGGGGAGGGAGGAGGAGCAGGAGCGCGGGAAGGGGCGGGAGCCAGAAAGGGGCCAGTGAGGGAGAAAGGGCACGAGTCCCCAGGAATGAACCCCAGCGCCAAAGGGCACCAATGGCTGCAACTGGCCAGGAAAGAGCAGGAATTACCACGAATTCCTGCGACAGAGCGTGAAAGAGCGCGTATCACTGCAAGTGACAGGAGTGAAGATCACCATGAATTCGTAGACGCGAATTAGTGCGAATTACCGCAAAAGAGCAAGAAAGAGCACGACTCAGCACGAATTAATGGCAAAGACGCACATTAACACCAAAAAGCGCCAGAGAAAGCGAGAGAAAGAAGACTGTGAAAGCCGGCGGGGGGGGGGGTGGGGGGGACCAAGAAAAAGAAGGTCCAGAATCCAGCTCAATTTAACACTGGTTTTGGACAGACTTGTTCTACAATGGTACTACTGCACCTCCCCAGCCGTAAGGAAAAGGATTTAAAAAGGAAAAAAAAAAAAGGGGGGGGGGGGGGGGGGGGGGGGGGGGGGGACACACACGACCCTCTGTGTATCAGCACAAAGCATCTAACTAGGAGACAACCCCCAGAGACCAGTAGAGAAAATCCCAAGGCAGAGCCCAGGGGGACAGACTCTTGCTGGCACGGGGCGGGATGTGTACGGCCATGCTCTTGCCCCACTCGCTGTCCTGGGGTTTCGGGGGGGAGGCTGTGAGCAGCTCTGCTGCCCAGTCCTGTGCCCGAGCCCCATCTCACCTCGAAGCCTCTTCAGCCGCTTCTCCTTCTTCTTCTTGCGGATGATGAAGAGGAGGGCCACTCCCAGCATGGCCAGGAGCACAGGGCAGGCGATGGTGAAGAGCTGGAGCATGGGGCAGGCGATGGATGGTGAAGAGCTTCTTCATGTCATCGCCCTCCCCTCGGGTGGACTCGATGCGGGGGACAGTGCCTAGGGCTGTTGCAGGCCTTCATGCGGAGCTCGTACCAGGTGGCCTCCCGCAGCTCCCTCAGGAAGACCTCGCTGGAGCTGTTGGTGCGGAGGCTCTGCCAGACCCAGTTGCCCTTGGGCCGGTACTCCAGGACGATGGCGGTGATGGGGCAGCCCCCGCTGCTCCAGCCCTGCTGGTCCTTGCTGAAGGAGGGCTCTGCGGGAGAGGAGCCGTCAGGGGGGGTTGTGGCAGGGAGGGACCACCCTAAGCAGGGCAGGGACGCCATGGGGCAGGCTCACCTCTGCCGTGGGTCTTGGCTTCCATGATCTCGCTGACACGGCTGGCCCTCACGCTGGTCTTGGCCACCGGCTTCACCTTGGACAAGGTGCCGCGCTTGAGGCTCTCCACCTTGAAGGAGCACTCCGAGGAGCTGAGGAACACATCCTTCCGCTCCTCGCTGTTGTGCACCGAGTACCGAGCCCTCCTGCCACCTCGGAAGCATCACCCTTCACCTGGAGAGTGCCAGAGAGGGAGAAACTGAGGCACCGAGCAGACGCCTAAGAACACCCGCAGACCCCTGCAGGCCCCTAAGATACCCTAGAGGGCCCTACAGACCCCTAAGACCCCCAGTGGACCCCTACACACCCTCACCCCAGATGCCTGTGGAGTCCTAAGGGATCCCCCAGACCCCGATGGACACACACCCCCGCCCCAAGGGCTCTGGGGCTCTCCACTAATTCCAGAGGGAGAGAATTGACCCCGAGTCCCATTTTCCAGGGGAACAAGATCTCCAGGTGCCCCCTCCAGCCAGGGCTTGGGCCAGGTCTCCAGCCATCCCCCCCCCAGGTCCAGGTGCCACTCATCCCCACTGATGGGGTGATGGCCACCATGGTCACCATGGCCCCAGCAGGAGCCAGGGAGAGGGGGAAGAGGAGGGAAAAGCAGGGAGAGCCCCCGGGGGAAGAGGGAAATTCCAAGTGGTGGGGAGCGGGGCAGGGAGAGGGATAGAAAGGGCAGCGAGAGGGGGGGCAGCGACTCACGGCAGCTCCTGGTGCAGGCAGGAGACCTTCGCTGCCCAGAGGCTTCTCTCTCTGCCCCTTCCCAGCCAGAGACCCTTGGCACAGCCCTGCCCCAGCCCCACTGCCTGCTCCTCAGCCTGCCCCAGCTCCCCCCGCAGCCTCTTTTAAACACCCCTAAAGACCCCTCCAGACCCCTAAGCACCCCTACAGACCCCTAAACACAGCTAACCACACTTAGCACCCCTACAGACCCCTAAGAACCCCTCCAGACCCCTGCAACTTCCTGCAGCCCCCTTCAGACCACAGCAGACCCCTGAGTGCACCTATAGCCCCCTGCAGCGCCATGCAGAGCTGTGCAGACCCCTACAGGAGACCCCTAGAGACCCCTACGGATCCCTACAAACCCCTGCAGCTCCTTGAAGGACCGGCCCCATTGTACAAAGACAAAGCCCTGCAGACAGTCGTCTGCCGAGTCTGCCTTGCTGTCCTCGGAGCAGCCTCGCAGATGCCTGAGGCAAAGGTCCAACGGGACCCACCCTGGAAATCCCGAGGATGGAAAATCACAACTCACACCATCAGCCACAAGCAATGAAGCTGGCGTTACAGATAAAGACTCTCAAGGATTTGCAAAAATGTGAAGTGTGCTCACCTGATTCGTGTCAATACCTTTAACCCTTCTGTGTGTCCTTGTAGAACCGTGGGCTTAGGAGAAGCAGGACGGGATGTCTAGAGTTTCCATTTCTTGCAAAAACCCCCTAACGAGCCCAGTTATTGCTGGCCGCATGGTGCTGAGCGGGAGGGGGCTGTGGGGCACACGCCTGGAGTCGGGGGTCCTCCTGGGGGCGAGCCGAGAAAAACTACTTTACCCACCGACCACCGGGTGGGAGTCAAAGAAGATTCCAGAAGGTGAGGAGGGCATGGCCAAAGAAGACATGCCCATCCCTGGAGATCATTAGCATAGGCCAACCTTTGCTATGAACATGTATTAGCAGAAGAAATATAAACCCAAAACGGGACCTGCCCGTGGTGCGCCTTGGTTGAGCAGAGACTCCCGGTGCATCCAGCGCCGTTTGCTTGTCTTTGCTCGTTTAATAAATTGTAAACTTTAATTGGAATCCTGTTTGAGGCTCACCTCACCAAGCACAGCTCTCACATAACTCACCAAAACAGGAAGGCACTACAAAAGCAATTTCAGCCCCCTGCAGCCCCCTGAATCCCTTTAAAGACCCCTGAAGCCCCCTGCAGACCCCTAGACCCCCTACGGATCCCTGCAGCCCCCTGAACCCCTTCAAAGACGCCTGCAGACCCCTAGAGCCCCCTAGAACACCCTAAAGCCCCCTGCAGCCTGCTGGTGATGGCATCCTGCGAGATTGATACGGTTTTGTATATATTGTATCTATTTTGTTATTTCCTATTAATATTTCATTAAAGTAGTTTTGTTCCTTCTAAACTTTATCTCTTCTCCTTCTCTCCTGGAGCGAGAAGAAGGGGGAGAGCATCTGTGTAGCCCAAACTACACATAGACATCTTAGTAATAAACCACTAATTACAAGAACGCCATTCTCTTCGTCCATTTTGAACTGAACTATCTCTTTTTTCTTCCCTGATGACTAGTAGTAAAATATTTGCAATACTCAGAAAAACTTCTGTGAGACAACAGCCAAGAAAAAAAATCTGTGTATATTTTTTCTCTTATCCAAGTTTAAATCAGAACCTTTAATGTTACTTTAGTTTGCATGTGTTAATCATATCATTAATGCTATGACTGACAGATAGAAATTAGTTTAATGGAGAGTTCATGGTTCTTAAATCAAGACAGGCTTTTGGGTTCTCATGATTAATAGACCAATACCCAAGCCACATATGCTCTAACTGAAAAGCAAGATGGATAATGAGTTCATGCATCCGTTGAAGGAATTTTAAAATATATGGTGGACTACATTACAATGATCGCTGGAATTAATGCATGCAATTTGTCTGTCCTAGTCAATGTTAAAAGAAAAAGTGCAAAGACTAAGCAGGGATATTCACAAGTTAGACTACGGGATATCTAATGAGCTGTAGGATGAATGGGGAGGGGAAAAAAAAAAGAGGAGAATGTACCACAGGATTAATTAAGAGACTTACAGAAAATTCCAATTCCAAAGGGATGTTTCATGTCATGCAAGAGTCTCATGGCTTGTGCAATCTCCACCTAACAAACACCCAGGTCCTCACCAGGCCTCTATTGAAACAAGGATGCCTGCATATTCTCTGCTCACTTCTTGTTTCTTAGGAGGGATTGTATTTCAGACAGACATTGATATGCTGCTTTCATACCTGTGATGGGAACATTTCAATGGAAATAATTGTAAGGTTAAAGTGAAACACAAGTAATTTAAACATATGTTGGCATGTACAAAGCCAAAGATAAGAAGAAAAGACAGTAGTTAATGAAGACCCAAGAGAAGTAATTCAGGGTGATACAAAGCTAGAGTAGGACTCACAGAGTGAAATAACGACAGGAAAGTGTTGGCTGAGTAATCTAAAGACCATAATGAGTTTTAAGTTTCTCTCATTAGCAAATTATGAGTCCTCAGAGATCAAATTTTAATATCTAATTTTATCACAGCAGTCACATAGCCAAAAAAGTTGCTTTTTAATCTCCCAAGTTTTGTCAAGCTGGTACGTTTCATTCATATCCCTCCTCCTCCTCACTTCAAATAAGGAAAAAGATACAGAAAATAAAGATATGGACAGAATTTCCCTAAATTTTATAAGCAAACACCAATGTATAAAACTCATGCCATTAAATTTTATTTTATTTTATTCCTTTCTTATCTACTGAAATACAGTCGATCATTTCTGTTCTTTACTGGTTTCATAATTATTAGGTAACACATTACAAGATAAAGATTTAATCTTGAACTTATAACTTGAGAAAATAACTATAATACTCTGGTTTTTTTGTCTGAATGGGGCCAAAGAGCAACACTGAGGAAATCACTTGAAATGCTCTTAAGCATTTTTTTTGAAATAAGGATGAATTCAAGAAAGAAGAGATTTCTATAATTTCCAAATGCTTAGGATGAAAGCAGTGACAGCACCAATGAGAGAGAAGGTCTTTATGCTCTCCCCATCATATGTGTGGGAATACAGGTCAGACAGAGGGTGCTAATAGACAGAAAGGGAGGGGTACATCTCATTACTATATCTGCACCTGTATGCAGTTAGTGATCATAAGATCACTGACAAAAAATGAAAACACAACTAGGAGGAACAGAAGAAAATTACATATTCCTATCATTAGAAAATAAATCTTGCATATATTGAAGTGTTGTTGCCCAAATAGATGATTCATATTGCCAAGAAATATCAAGTGCATTTCAAACTTCTATCTTTGCAACATACATAGAGAACAATTACTCTTTGTACAAAGCTAGCAAAGTGTATAAACTCATTTACTGCATCAATGCCTGTAATTAATGTTTCCTAACTCAGATCATATATACTACATTACACCTGTGATTTTCCCAGGTCATTGGTAATACTTACTGCGGTGCTGCTAAAAATCCATTCACATGCTGTGTTTTCTTTCTGTAAAGCAAAGATTAGTGCTCATGCTGTCTTACAACCTGTTCCCCTGGAGTATTGCAAGATCATCAAAACCATAAATTATTTAAAGTCTGTGTAGATGTGGTAAAGAATTAAGGAAGTTACAGTAGAAATGTGAGAAACAGTGGTAGAAGAAAAATAGTGCATTATTTTCCTCTGCATATAATACTCTTCCAAATATTCATCTTCTGAACACAGCATGGCACAGGACCTGAAGAGCTGAGAAGAATGTAGGAGGCTGGTTACAATCACCTGAGTGTTGGAAGAAACACAAAAATCCCTTTGACATATGATCAGTGGCAGACTACAGTCAAGAATGTTAATTAGAATTTAATATTCTTCTGGTTCCAGTAAACAGATTTAAAATGTTAAATGTGAATTGGAATCCAGTGTACTGAAACAAGAATAAAATCACATTAAGGCCTACCACGGCTAGTTTTGTTAAACTATTCTAATTTCAGATGTGAGAACAATCACAATTTTTGAGGGAAGATCGTGCAGCATAAGTAGATTCCATGACCACTGCTGCAGAATGACCAAAAGGTAGGATAAGCTCCATAAGAAGCACATCAGGCCAACAGAAACAGTGCAAACTACACTTTAGAAGAATATTGTTGCAGTAGATAAACAGTGTAATGTGCCTAAGAGTGAAGCCAAAATAACAATCAAGCAAAAAAAACTTAACCAGACAAACGGTTAGTGAATGTTGCATGGGGATGGCCAGAAGACAAAAGTGGGGGTACAGAGGTGACCAAAGGACTCCAGTAATATCTCCAATATCTCACACTTCTACGTGATAGTTCAAATGTGTAAAAACTTCTATTGCAAGCTTATTATTGCCAGACTAAAATTTCACGTGGAGATGAAATTACAAGGTGACACTCAGCCATGAAAAATGTAACCTGATCTGAGAAGGACCTTTTCTTATTTGTAAAACGGAACTCCTGCCAGGTAGTTTGTTTGACATGCAATATTGAATATGTACTGAAAAGAGTTAAACAAAATGTTTTAAACTTGAAATAATAATTCATGGTTTTTGGCTTTTTTTGAGAATTCACCTTAATAATGCCTAGTTGATTTAGAAAACAAACAAACAAACAAAGAACACTCCATTAAATGAAATCATTAGCAAAGATTTTTATCTTGAAAAAAGACCACAAGAAGGGAAGGAAAATTTGAGGGGAAGCCAGGTTCTTCTTACACTAACACCAAGAAAAGGAATGCTGTTGGTGCGATTACAGTAACAACGAGCAGGGAAATGTCCCATGAGTTTTCAGCCTGCAGATGTGATGAATTTCGCTCACAGATGATGAAACTTACTGTACAATGAATATCATATTTGGTGATTTTTTCCCATGTAAAGTGAAAGAACATTTCAATATACCCAGTCAACTGCTTAACCTCCGCCCTCATCGTTTGGCTAGTGCTAAACCAGGCTCAGTTGAAAGATGGACTAAACACAGTGATAAAGTTAAAATGAGCCTACTAAGCTTTCCCGATCTATATTAGACAGTTATTCAAGAGATACAGAGCAAAGGGGCATCACTGGCAAAACAAAGTCAGCCCTGGTCACTATTTTAGAAAAAAATTTGGATTTAAAGCTCTTCTTGTACCACCTGGAGTCTTCACCAAAGACATAACTGTCTTGAGCATTCCGCTCTCCTCTATCTGTTGCCTCAACAAAATTCATTTTCTGCATTGGCCTAGGGGAAGCCTCGTGATTTTTTTCATGGAACTAAAAAGAATTAGCACGTTATTGGAATTTTTGTCAGTTGTCCAAAGGAAAAAAAAAAAAAACCAAAACACTCAGAAGGTTTTTTCTCTCTGACAAGTTTTTGAAAACCGAAACCCCCATACTGTTAAGACTTTTGATAGAAAGGGGAGAAGTCATTGACAATTGCTATATGGCAATTATTGGATAACTTACCTTCAGGGAAAGTGGTTTTGTAACTTCTAATTGGAGATTTACTTAAGATATGAATCAAGAGGGTTTATATTCCTTCTGTATATTAATTTTAATTGCTTTTTACAGTCTGGCTGAAAGTGCCACAAGGTATAGAGTTATAATTTGAAGATATTATAAATTTTCCTTTGGGAAGTGTGATAAGTCAGCAGCAGAGGGGAGCAGAGACAAGGCAGTGCTCCAGAGGAACTGCCTCCATCCAGTCAGATGCCTCTGGGAATTAAGTACTTTGCTTCCTTTACCAATTATAAACTTGTCCCTTTGCTGAAACAGCAATTGCATTATTTGAAGGTGCATTTTTCCTTCTTTCTTGATCCTTTCTCTTATTTATGTTTTACATGACCAGCTGAGAGTGCCTTAAGAACCGTTAAGGTGAAAAGTGCACCTTGGGCTTCATACAAATGACAGTCAGGCTCTGCATTTTGATGACTGATGTGTGTAAACTTTGTTTGCTCATTAGCAGAAAAACATGTCAAGTTTAGAACTTCTATGGATACTGACAGTATATGAGTTTCAGGGGATTTAAGTCTACATCTCCTGCTTCCTAACATTTTACCTACATTTTCCAGACTCTGATATGATACAGTAATGATGATACCAGCTGGGTTTTGCAGAAATTACTGTAAAAGCCATAAGTCTTTGTAGTGAATCACAAGTTCTTACTACAGCTAGAGATCACGTCCTTAGCATTTCCATAGCCTGTCATAAAAAAAACCAAACCAAAAACTCTGCATTATCTTACTCTCCATTAAATTGTTAGACAACTGTTTATTAAAACAGTCTGAAACTATTGGAAACGCTAAAATGAAATACTTAGACTACTTTCAACACGGGACTGTCTCTTTGTAAGGTCACTGTTTTGGAGGACAACCTGTTTTACAACCAGATGCATTGCTGAGCGAGGGAACAGGTAATAGTGTTAGTGCTGTACAATCTGGAATGTCTTATAAGAGAGTTTGGTGTGTCTCAGCAAAAATTAATTCCAGAAGAATTCAATCAGTTCTTGGAGAAGTTTCTGATGTGAAAAAATAATTGAGTGCTTGACATCTAACTTTATAGGTCAAACGCAGAAAAGGCAATATCTTGGCAATAAATTGGGATGAAATTGTGGAATTTCAGTTGTGAGGTAAGTTTCTGGTTTTGTGGAATGGATGGTTTGAATGATATAGGTTTCAGAGAGTACTTTGCATTAGGTCAATAGCAAACCAAAAGCAATGTATTTTGGGTTTGGTTTTTTTTCACTACTGGATAGACTTGGAATTAACTCTTTTATACCAAGTTAATTACTCCAGAAGCTAGCTGACCTAGAGCTAGAGCTTGAATCAAGAAAAAACGTACCTGTTTCTGAATCAACTGTCTTGGTCCACAACTTTGTATGGTTTTCTAAAGGGAAATGGTTCTAATAGAAGAGATTATCTTCTTCTCACAGTATGGCCTATTATATACTCATAAATTACTATGGCTATAGCATATACACTAACCTAATTGCAAGTGTTACCTACCTTCTAATTTTGCTGACATACATCTTGATTGATGTGTTGGTAAAAAAAAGTCTTAGTAATCAGGTATTTTATAGAATTACTCTAGTGACTTCTAAGCAAGTGGTGACCTAATGCTATCACAAGACCTTTTCACACAAATAGCAGCTTCAGCATCTTCCTTTGATAGGTGTACATGCTTTAGTGTACTTTGTTCCTTCTTGGGAATGGGATTTCTGTCTATACTGATGCTACCTATTTATATTTCTGGAAGAAAAAAAATAAAAAAGAGGACAGAGTTGCATGGCTGCAAATGAGACCTTGTATTTGTTTTGCTCAGAGTTTGCAGCAGTGATATAAAGAAAAAAGAGGTTTTAAACCACAGCCGCGCTTAAGAAGCGTCTGCAAAATATTGTTTTTAAGGTTAAAAAGGCAACTTGAACTCTAGATCCTCAGGACTTATCATTTGTGTGAAAACCAACTTTCTCTAGTCTTTGCCCAGTGTCCTGTTGCACAAACAAATGGTGGAATATAGCACCTTTATATTAGTGAAATATCACATATCTGCTGTTTATAGGTAGTTCCAGTCTGACTCCATAGAATTCTAGGAGGGTGAAAAGCATGTTTGTATCTGCCTTCTGCCACAAGGGAGACATTTGGACATATTTGACACTACTTAAATTAGTAAGCCAAAAAAAGCAACAGTATGTTGTTATTCATGCATTTCTACATTCAAAAACCCATGAAAGTAAGGCATAAAGGAAGTGATTAAAACCCAGACACCATCATAGATTATGAATGCAGAAGACAGTGATACTTAGATTATGTATTATTCACCTTGACAGTCCCTCTGGAAGGCCATAATCCCACAGATAATGAAAATATTCTAAAAAAATCCATCTAGGATATGAAGAATATTTAATCAATGGAAATTTTGCACAGATCCAGAAAGGTGATCCTGTGCTTTTAGGAAAACTGGTGTTTCTCAGTCTTTTTTGGGTATAATTTTTCTGTTTTCTTTGAACCTTCAGGATGATCTGATGTCAGTGACTTGAATATTTGCTATTTCAGTTTTGCAGTTTTGTTTTCTAGTGAATGTGAGATTATAATTTCACTTTCATTTTTGCCCATTATTGCTTCCAGTGTAGCTATAATGAAGTCGACATTGATCCTTACACAAGTTTAAATGAGAATTTTGACTAGACGGGCAGCATAATACCATGTGTGGATTGTGGGGTTTTTTTCTATTCCACTACTTAAAGCAATTACTTTGCCTTTTCTTGAAAAACATTTGAAACCAATGGAAAAGACCATACATTACCTCTTCTTATCCTTAAACAGAGGAGGTTGATTCTTCTCCTTTGAGATTAGACTAACATTCAGGTTTCACGTGTGACTTCTTTCTTGCAACTCTCACTGCAAAAATAGCCTAGGAGAACAATGCAGAAAATATTTTTTTTAAGAACTCTCAATTATTTTCCATGACAGTTCCAGAATCCTGTTATTTAGCTTTCAAAGCTTTTTGTATAATACAAAACCAGAATCTCTCAGTGCAAATACTAGATCTAATTTTCCTATCACATTCACCCAGTGAAGAAAATCAATCTATCATAAAGTGTAAGAGCTGAAACAAGATGGCAGTGGTAATCACAGAATGGTAAGGGTTGGAAGGGACCTTCAGAGATCATCTAGTCCAACCCCTCTGCCAAAGCAGGGTCACCCAGAGCAGGTCGAAGAGGAACATATCCAGGTGAGTTTTGAGTACCTCCAGAGAAGGAGACTCCACAACCTCTCTGGGCAGCGTGTTTCCAGTGCTCTGTCACTCTCAAAGTAAAAAAGCTTTTCCTTATGCGAGTTCCATTATCCAATAAAGACATAAATAAGCAGGGGGAAATACCCTATATCAGTGTAGAATTTCAGATTTACCAAATATGCAGCACACTTCTATAAACAAACATGCATTTGCATGGCACTGTGTACCTCCAGAGAAGGAGACTCCACAACCTCTCTGGGCAGCGTGTTTCCAGTGCTCTGTCACTCTCAAAGTAAAAAAGCTTTTCCTTATGCGAGTTCCATTATCCAATAAAGACATAAATAAGCAGGGGGAAATACCCTATATCAGTGTAGAATTTCAGATTTACCAAATATGCAGCACACTTCTATAAACAAACATGCATTTGGATGGCACTGTGTTTTACCACAACTTCAGGGTGTTTGCCGCATGTAAATATTCTCCACTGGGGAGAGGTATTTAAGCATCTGATTAGACATATCTAGTTTTACCACAACTTCAGGGTGTTTGCCGCAGGTAAATATTCTCCACTGGGGAGAAGTATTTAGCATCTGATTAGACATATCTGACTCCTGCACCGTGGTTCTACTGCTGTATAGCACACCATATCATGCCACAAACTAAAATTAATATGACGCTACATGAACTTGTTCTAAAAGGCAATTCTCTTGATGTAGAAAAAGAGTATCAAACTATGTAGTCTTGGTTCCAGCAATGAAACAGTTTCTTGAATGGAGAGACCAATACCCACGTTTGCATTCTGGAGATATGAGAGACTGATAGCTACAGGCTCTCATATCTCCAGTCACAGAGAACTACAAAGGTACAGTAGCCCCTTGGAAAGAGTCTGCAAAGATGGCTTTCAATCTCTAGTGCCCGCACAATCGTCGGGGACTAGTTCTGGATGTCCACAGGCAGGAAACAGGAAAAGACAACGTGTTGTTAGATTTAAATTCACAGTACAAAAACCCAAACCAATACAAAACAAAAATACAAAAAGGTGTTGAAAACACTGATCATAATAACCACTGACTTGTTATCAGGCTGGTAAATTTTCAAAACCTAATTACTAAAGCATACTATGGTATCTACAGTTTTAAATGGTTTGTCCAAAGATTTTTTTGGATAGCAGGGATGCTGGGGGCTTACTTTGTTTGTCTATTTCTTTAAAGAAATCCATACTGTACAGAAAAGTCCTCCAAGGATTCAAAATTGCAGGCGGTTTCTGCTCCAAGTACTTCCAGCAATTGTTGGCATCTTTTAAGACTATCTGGATAGAATTTATTAACATATATAGCCAGAGCTCTATCCTCTATTGAAAGGCAATATAACACACAGTCCCTGACAGATTAAAGCAAGCTGTACTATAAATTGTGCAGATTGAGCCCTCTTACATGGCTTATCCTAATCATAGCTCTGCCATTTGCTTCTCATGACAGGATAAAAATAAAAGTCCCATAAAACTAAAATAAAATAGACAGTCTGCCTTTCCTCCCTTAGAAAACATTTGTCAGAATCTCTTCAAAAATAATTGGGAAGAAAATGTGCTGAATTCTACAATCTATTGAGTCATTTTTAAAGCTCGTCCAGGCATGTGAAAAGTCAGCATTCTTTATGATCATCTAGCTTGGGAGAGGATGTATTTCACATTGTCAAAAGCCTTTCATAGTTTGCTTTTTTGCCCCCTTAAGAATAAGTTTTCCTAGACTTTAAACTTAAATATTTATCCAGTGAGCAAGAAACAGTGAAACATTTAGGTTCACTTACTGTTCTACAGTCTTCAGTCATCTAAACCATGCTTTTTCTCATACTTTTTCCTACAGCTTCACAATTTACATTTTTTCCCCTCTCTACCGTGTCTGCTTCTGAACTACTGGTGCTTAATGAAAGCAGTGTGGAAATCTCCTTTTGCTATCTATGAAAAAAACCAGCTTATGGTACACTTTTCAGCCCTTTTCAAACACCACTGCTGAACGAAGCCTGACCTCTTCTAGTGCTGCAGACTGAGGTTGGCATCTTTAGGAAGAAGTTCTTTGCTGTGAGGGTGGTGAGACACTGGAACAGGTTGCCCAGAGAAGCTGTGGATGCTCCGTCCCTGGAGGTGTTCAAGGCCAGGCTGGATGGGACTTTGAGCAACCTGGTCTGGTGGGAGGTGTCCCTGCCCAGGGCAGGGAGCTGGAATTGATGACCTTAAAGTCCCTTCCAACCCAAACCATTCTAAGATCCTATGATCTGCAAGGGCAGTTGTTTCCCTTCCTGGGAAGGAAATGGCCTCTGCAATTTTGGGCGATTCTGCAAAGGATGAATTTTGGAAACTCAGTATTCACCTGGAATTACAAAGATTGACACCAGGGAGGTGTTGTGACATTCCAGTGATGCAGGGAGATAGAAATATTTAAAACAAGGATTGCTTCCCGCTAGAGATGGTGGTGTAGAGAAACAAGCCAGCACCAGAAACTGCCTGCTTTCTGCACAAGTGGAGAAGTTGTAATGCTCTTTCACAGCTCTGAACACACAATGGGAGATAAGATACTTAACATCTACCACCAAGGACTAAATCTTCCCTTCTTTCATCAGGAATTGAGAATTTTATCTTTTCCCTTTTTATACACTTGAAAATACTGAGACTTTCAGGATACACCATTCCTCTTCTACATGACTACCAAAAGCAGCATAATTACAGCATCGTAAAATTGGTTTGCCACTCCATGTACTCCAGCTCCTCTGAGTGCCTAGCATCTGCTTACTGGTCAGGGAGCTCATTCAGCTATGCACAGATTACATATTAATTTCTAATTTTTGTAGGAAGCAAGGGCCTGAGACAGAAAAGATAAACAAAGCATATGCTTTTCTATTAAAAACAACTATACTCAGTGTCCATCTTGGCATATTACCATATCGCAGATTTTTCACCTTAAGAATATGCATTACAAAACCATGTGTCTGATTAGTCTTCTCAATCAGGTTGTCTCAGCAGAGTTTCACTGAGGCAGAAAGAGCTAGATTTGGAAATAGATTTTGGATGTCAAGATGCACCTGACACACAAAGTGAAATCCAATGTCCTGGCACAAGTGTCTAGGCAGAAAAACGTTATTTCCAAATGATTTCCACAAAACAGACTGGGAAGCTGTCTCTGCTAGCCAGCAGAAGAGGGACTTTTGGACAATCTAGCTGGCATGGTTGAAAGCACTCCTTTCAGTTTTCAATATAGAATGATGTCTGCACCTGTGCAGCTCTCTAGGACGAAAGCTGAACAGAAAAAGATGGAGTTTTGCATAGAAAAGAACCAACCTGAGTGGCTAGGGCAAAAGTGTGTAAATAGTGCAGCGACAGAGAGCTGTCATGCATCTTATTACAATAAAAAGTAAGTGAAATCAATGGCTTCGAACGTGCTACAGCTCTAAAGAAGATGTTTTCACATCATGCATAGCTGTGGAATGCATCACTGAAGGCCACTATATATTTATAAATAATTACAAATTATAAATAATTGTTGAAAAGGTTCATTCATGTCTATTAACTATGATAACTGGAACATATTCATGGCTGTTCCTAAATCACAAGGTTATTACCACAAGCTGAGGCTGAAGGTCACTCCACACTCTTCCTGTTCTTGTTGGCTTTGCCTAAGCATCTGTAGACCTAGCAGACCTAGCCCAGTTCTGAAACAAAATGTTACCACAGAGTTTAGAGGAAAGGAAGGAAGGGGGACAGGACTGGGGAACCAAATTGGTTTGGGACACAGATAGATAAAATAAAATTGGGTTGCAGGTTAGAAGTAAGTAGGGATACCAAGAAGACCATCTGTTGGTCATTGATGATACTGGTTTCCAGTTGTGAGGATAGGCCCAGGTATGTCCAGTGAAAAAGTTAAAAGCCTTCCCAGGAATGATAGACCTCAGGATATGGGAATAATATATAAATAGGAGACAAGTGATAAAAAAAGAAGAGGTGAGGATAAAGTACTAAAAATGAGGTAGCTGGAGTGATATAAAAAACTCAAGCCTGTGTTGTTTAGACACTCAACCTGACAGTGAGAATAAACAGTACTTACATCGCTACCAACTTAAAAAACCAAGCTAGAGGCAATACTGCTCCTTTTTCCTCCAGTAAGCTAGTGTTTTACAGTACATATATCCCCAGTGCAGTTTATCTTTGCTACATTCCCTCTTCCCCTGTGAGGAGTCAGAACCAGATACTCCAATCCCTTCAATCGAGTCCACTTCAGAAGATTCCATCTGTTTGGAATTTAACATCTCTCCTTAGGAGCACTTATCCAATCAGGAGTTTAATTTATCCTACATTACTTAGAAATGAGCTCAGAATAAAATATTGATTCTTCTCTAAACTTTATCCCATCATCCTCAATAGGTTTTGGAAGTTTCCATAGAGATGACATTTTCTGCTATTACTTCTGCCATTTTCCAGTTTCAGCTGGGCTGCAGAGCAGCAAAATCAGCATAATGAAATACTTTCTGCAATTTTCTAGAAAAAATTAGGTTCAATTTCTTTAAGATTTGATTGGATGACAAGTCATCCCCAAACTGCTCAGTGTTCACAGAACTACATCTGGATGCATCACGTAAAAAAAATACGATAAAGTATCTATTCCCACAACTCTTGGGAAACAGGGAACT